TACCAGCAGGAGGGCTGGTGGGACTGGGAAGTACAAGAGCAAATCAAATCTCACCCCTCTGCTCCTCAGATTCTGTTAGAACAGAGCCCACGTGGTGTCACTCACTGGCGCTGTGACCATCTTCCCTGGGCCAGTTCTGTGACTGCAAATGCTGCTTGACTTTAGAACAGGTGCATTTACCCACAGATATCAAGTGATAGAGGATTTGAAGGGGGTTCATATCTGGGCCTGCTGTGCTCAGAGTGGTGCTGCCAGTGCCTGCCTGTCAGTGTTAATGGATGAGGCCCCCTGGCAGGAGGCAGGACTGTGTCCTGGCTCCATGGGAGCAGCAGGTGATGTTCTGCTGCTGGCACCTCGTGCCTGGGAGAGAAACATCTGTGACTTGTAACTGTGGTTTTATTTCCCTGCCAGGTCTGGGACCAGTCTTCAGTGTAAGTCTCAGCTAGACAAAGTTACTCATCTTGACCTGCAGGAAAAAAAAAGGAAATATACTGAGTATATGCACTCCATCTGTCTGCTGCCCAGTTCCCAAACAGCATTCCTGGGCCAAAGCTCGCTCCGCAGCGGGAGCCGTGGCGCTTCTGAAGATCCTTCGCAGCTCAGTTGATTTCTCTGCACTTTCCTGCACTCCTGTTTTTGCACTTTGTACTACTGTTACTCTTTCAAGCAGTTCATGAACTTTTTGTATCCACTTTAGTCCCTAGTAGATCATCAAGGAAATGGGACCAGTGTCCCGCCCCAGGTGGTTACTGTGGTTAGCACCCCTCACCAGAGAGTTGGGCACAGTTCTGAGACGTGCTGGGAGCCCCCGATGGCCTGGAAACAGAAGGGCCGAGGTGAGTGAGTCTTTCAATGGGAGCTGTGGTTGGATGTTCTCCACAGAACACGAGAAAATTTACTTCTGATTAGTCTGTTCACCTGCCACTTCTGAAAGTTATTTTGTTCTCACTAAAATTGCTCTAGAGCAGCTCTGATGGGGAGGGAAGATCCCTGCTTTAACCGACCCCCTGCCCGGCCCTGAGACAAAGTGCATTACCTATAAGCTACTGGGTTGTAAGACTTTATCCAGGTCTTCTGCATGACAGTTCACTGCATGCTGCTGCACCATCACTGGCTGCTCTCTCCTTTTAGGTTGCTTTGCTGAGTAGTGTATTGTACCTCACTTGTAAATTAACCGAAACCTTTAGATTACGCTGCAAAATAACCGGTACTCTGGAAATTTGGCAACGAAGAGTTAACAAGCCTTATTCTATGACAAGAGTTACAGTCACACCTGTGTTCTCCTCTCAGCACTGGACACGGGCCCTTCAGCAATGAGTCCTGCCGGCCTCAGCTCCCAGAGGGAGCAGCCCGGGCTGGCTCCTCCCGTGAGCTGTAGCTTGTCCTACAATAAGATGTGGTGTGGTGGCACAGGACACTCACAGGGAGCAGCTCTGGCAGGTGCTGACGCACCTTCGCTGCCGCCTGTCTGACCTCGAGCCTTTTATTGCTTCCTGTTCTCTTTTGCTGTGAACATAAAGCAGAGAGCAAATGATTTTCAAAGCAGGTTTTTGACCATTCACCCTGCAATAGCAACATCCTAAGTGAACAACCATGTTCTTTACAACTGGAAAGAGCAAAACTGCATCCAGTCGGCCCTTGGCACCACACTTAAAACTTCTGCTAGTCCCTTGCAAGCCTGTGCTAACCTGTTCTAGAAACCCATCAAAATTCCAATGCCTTGTCAGTGTCCTTTGGCGAGTTTCATGGATATTGTATTCCGTTCTCTTGTCTGTTGGGTTATTTTCAATCAGATGATTCGGCAGGAAACTTGCTGAAAGTTTTTGTCTCCTGGTCTGAATATTTTGAAAGGTCACAGAGATCAGTCTTTAAATCTTTGCATCTCATGGAAGATCTTCAAGACCTCAGAAATGGGCTTGTTGAGTCCTGAAAGTGTATATCGTGTCTTGTTCGTGAAATGCTTCCTGCTATAGAAATAGCTCAAAGGACTGTACATATTTACAAGAATCTTTATATTCGTAACAAAAGGGAATTGAATTGGTTTCTACTTTTTTATTGTAAACTGTGTGTTTTTCAACACTAGCTTTTTGTTTTACTGGTGGTTGTGGACAGCCATCTTCAGACACTGGAGGGGCCTCAGCTCAGTCCTCCTCGCTCCCATGAAGAAATATTGTAACATTAACTTGCAATCGAAGCTTGTTAGCATAAATGAGGTTTTAGGTCTCTAAAATTACAGGATTTTTCTTCATTACCTTTTTATTATTGACAAGGGAGGGAACCAGAGGGACAGTTCAAAGCTCCACCTGGAAAGTATTGAACTTTGTTGTTGAACAATAACCAAATAAAACAAATAACTATCTTGACTGGCATGGTGAAATGACGGCTTCCTTCTCCCTGGAGTCCCCCTGCCCGTCCTGCCCCCTCCCAGCACCTGGGCTGGAGAATCCACCGGTGTCACAGCTGACCTGAGACCTACCCCTGGCAATATTTAGCATTTAATACTCATCCTTCCCTCAACAAGTAGTTGTAAGTGGCTTCACCAACCCCAAGCACGTTCCCATGAACTAAAACATGAACTTTACTAGAGCAGCAGTCAGCTGCCAACACCTACAGCTAAATCCTGCCCTCAGGTGCTTCACCAGTGAGAGGGGTAGAGGTAAAACACGTGTGAGTATCTGGGAAAACAGTCTTGCCCTGGTAAATGACCCCATGCATCTTGAGCTGGAAAAAAACATCTCAATTAACAATAGTGTGATCTGATATCAGGTTTGGGATTTATCCCAGCACCGTCCTGGTAGCAAAGTGGACAGAGACAGTTCCTCATCCCACTGCTGTAACATGCTGGTGCTTTAAGGCCTAATACTGCAACTTTAAAAAAAAAAAGACCATTCACAAATCCAGTCAGATTGAGTACAACCTGCAGAGTTACTGTACAGCTCAACTTACACCTGCTGGGAAAACTTGCTAGATCAGACTTAAATGTAAATACATCTATTTTTAACTGAACCAGTTTTTACAGGGTCTGAAGTATTCTTTCACAGGAAGAGGTTTTTAATATTCACACTGCTGCCTACAGTAACTTAATTTGTCCTCCTACTGTTCAGTGTTTTTGGTTCTGTGCACATACCCACCCCCTCAGCCCTGATAAAGGGCTTGTTGGAGGCTGTGGGGGTGGGTTACTGATGGCTCCTCTTACGTTTTGGTCTACATGACATTCTCCATGAGAAATGCTCTCCATAAACCCCGAGCTGCTTGATTTATCTATTGTGCCTACTATGATGTATATGATGAAATGCTGACTTGTTCAATGTTCCTTTATTTCTTTTACTGTGCACAAAGAATACTTATTTAAAGCTCATTGTTGCAGTCCTATGGTGCATGATCCGAATTGTAACAAAACTAAACTAATCCAGAAACTGGTGGAGTAAAAAAAACAATTATTATTTATTGAGCCTTTTGATTCCCAAAACCCCTGCACAAATCCATGTCAGCTTGACCCCCCCCTCAGGCTGTGCTGACATTCAGGGGGTCGGGGAGGGCAGGGAGCTCCTGTTATTCCTGTCCTGGTTTACTCCAGAGTCCCCAAAAGTGACTGTAACAAAAGTCTCTGCATCTACCTTAAAAAATATGCTCTCCTAGCAACAGCCAAGAATAAACATAACAGCACAGACTGTGAGCTGTGGGTGGGGAATGTAAGTGAGCTAATAAATCCAACTCTTGATCCAGCTTTTGCCTTTGGAGGGAATTGATTCATCCCATTGCAATAAGGGAACACAGAGTGATTAATCTAATTCATTCACCCATCAAGCAGAAAACAACCTAGCAAAAACCAATAAGAAGACCCTAAAACCCACCCCCCCTCAGCAAAAACCAAAAATAAAATCAGCTTTTACCTCTTCCTTCTTTTGCTCTCCTGCAGATGCTCCTGGTGGAGAGAAAGGGGATCAGGGGGGCTGAGGGGAGGCTGTAGCTTACCTGAGGAAGGGTTTGGCTCCTGGGAATGTCAGCTGAGGCCACGGGTACCAGGGAACATCTCACCTCCATCACCTGCTGCCCCTGGCTGGAGAACCCCTGGGGGCCTGCGGGCAGCTGGGCTCACTCATTGCAGGGACAGGGAAAGGTGGAAGTGCTGATGGATCATCACTCCTGTGAGGCAGCTGCTGGTCACACAGCCTGGGCCCCCCACCCTGGGCTCTGAGCTCCCCACACAGCTTTTTTGGGGCTGCAAAAGCTGATGGTGGCTGCAGCCTCTGTACCCAGTGCTCTGCCAGCTGAGACAGGGCAAGAGGCTGCAAAGCAAAAATTAAAATTAAAAAAAAAAAAGCAACAAGCTTTCTACAGAATAATTGGTTCCATGCTGTGCTTCCACCACACCAGCACTGATAAGAGCCTGGAGTGAGTCATGCATATATGGAATTGGAAAAAATCCACAAAGCTTAGCCAGAACTAATGAGCCTGAATCCCTGAACACTTCAGTCGTGCATGCTTTCACCTGCCTTTCTGTTCTCCACCGCTCCACGTTTCAGCTCCTTTAGTCTCTGATATGTGAAAAATTTCTTTCACAACTAGAAAGAACAAAAAAAAAAAAGAAAAAACAACCCAAACTTATTAAGCTACTGCTAAGCTTTTCTTCTAGCAAAAAAAAATTAGTTCAGGGTCACTCAAACAAGAAATTTGTGCTATCATTTCCCTGCAGGCACTGAAAGCATTTAAGAGGCCTCCCTGCAGGACTTCTCTCTGCCAATACACTCTCACAGCCACTTTCTGTGAACACAGCTGAAAAAGTTCCCCTGCATCACATATAAACACCAACACCTCTGTCTTCTTCACTAAGTGCAAGTGGAGAAAGTGTTTCAAGCTGCATCTCTGCATGAAAAGCCTGCACAACCCACTGAGGTATAAAACTGCAACCAGGCAATCACAGGTTATAAAAAAATAACCACTCATGGAAGGCAAGGTTACCAAAGATGGGAAGGGGAATAACAAAGCAAGGCACTCGCTTCTCTTGAAAATGTTTTATTTGTTTCTAAAGAGGCTGAAAACAAAAGCAATTCTGTAGTTCAGAATACCAAATCCTATCCATAGCACAGAATGAAGAGAAGAGTTTTCAGAGAAAACCATTGCACTGGACCCAGGTCTAACTCTGCTACAGGAGATATTGCAACAAGGCTGGTGAACAGACCCCAGGATGGCAATCCAGCCTCGTGCTGTGGCTGGCTCCACTCTGCTGCAGCTCTGGCCCCTCAGACTCCTCACAGATTTGTGCAGGGGGCTCTCCCCCCACAGTGGGATGGGGCTGGTTATCGTTGGCACAGTCACGGTGCCCCAGGCACCAACACCAGCCAAGGGAAGGGCCCAGCAGGGCCCACCCCGGGCAGGCCTGGAGCACACTGGCAGCAGGTTTGCATTACTGTTGCATTTGTTTTGGGATAAAACAGGCTGTGTGGGCAGCCTGGCATTATTATGAACACTCAGAAAACAGAAACAATAAAAAAATTGCCCAGCTCCAGCCCTGGCACAGAGGGCTGCGGTGCTGCTGCAGCCAACACGCTGCAACTGCAGACACTGAGGGGCAAGTTTGGCCACTGGGACACAGGACACTTACAGTCACCTTCAGGCTCTTACTGAGGAACTAATTCCTAAACTGAATCCATCCATTTCCTTACAGCCACCTACCCCAGCTTAAGGAAGTCCTCATCAGTGACAGCAAGAGAAACCGGTTTCAAAAAGCAGATTACTGCCAAGACACACTGACGATTTACAGAAAAATCCAGCCATTAAAAACAATTGTCTTTACCAGAAATTCCACAGGGGAAAAGTATTTCAGTTCTCCTGAAGAGAAAAACTACAGAGCTATTCACAGTAGAAACCGTGCACCCCAGTCTACCGTAAAAACGTAACGAGCTTGTAGGTGATTATGTTGCTGATTTTGCCCAGAAAAGGCTGCTACAAAACCAGATCATCAATATTCACACTTACTTCAGCCATGCAAGTTTGGAACTTGCTACTGAAATGATTGTGTCTGATGAGTTACGGAAGCAGTAATAAGCTTGCTTTTGCTGAGTGTTATGCTCAAATCAGATTCCACAAGAATCCTGAACTTTCTAGACTTTGGGCTGACAGACTCAGAGTCTGCCTCGCTGCTAAAGCTCTTTGATCTGTTGCTGCCCTCACTTTTTTCAGCCTAATTAAACTGGTGGTTTTTTAACTGAGCTGACAACGGGCACTGACACCTTTGCCACCTGTCTAGTTGCCATGAAGCTGCCATTTCCAAGAACTTCCAAGGTGGTACTAGGAAAATAAGGCAAATACAGGAGAACCTGGAAGTCTCAGAAACAATATGAAATCAGAGTTCATTTGCTACAGCACAGAGCAGAAGTATGTTTGGTTAAGTGAAGCATTTTTTTTCTGAGACTGCACTGGCCCAGAACGATTGGTCACAAACAACTACGATGCTCATATTGGCTTGTACAGCAAAGTAGTCACGTATTTCTTCTTGTAACGATGTGTAGCACTGAGCACCATCACTCCATCCTAGGGGATGGAAAACAGGTGAGCATGTGACATGGATAACCGAATCTGCCCACGTGGGGAACGTGCCCGGGCCTCTCACCTTGATGGAAAGCGCGTAGAGGTGGTTCAACATGACGTGGTTGGGTTCAGGGAGCAGAGCGGGATCGCACTGGGAAGAAGAGAAAGGGAGACAGTGTGAAAATAACAGAACTCCCAGTTCACTCACCACAGCTGAAGGGTGACAAACACTGTCTGTAACCAGCCATACTCCCAGTATATCCCTGCTGCTTACCCTGAGTCCCCCCACAGACACAGTCACTGCTTCAGAACAACCCAAGAACCCTCTGTGTCCTCCCCATGACCATGAAACAAACAGCAACTACCTCCTGTGTGCTTCTGGCATCTTAACAGTCCAGAAGATTAAGGTTTGGGGAGAAAAACAGCATTTTGAAGAGAGTCAAGTAGAAAAATAAATTTTCTTCAGATGAATCCATCTAGACATACATAATGAGAAACTTACCAATGTGGCAACTATCCTAAGGTTTTTCCTAAGCTGTCTCCTGTCTGTCCCCAGACTTTTTCCCCATCTGTTTCCACCCTCAAGGCCATTATTCAGGAAAACAAACTGAAGTACTCACGGAAATGCCTGTGTCCTTGTTCAGGATGACCTGCAACAGGTGTGGGGGGAGAATGGGTGGTGATTTAAAGCGCTCCTCTGCCTTGCAAACATAGGGCTCCTGGTGATAAGGTCCTGGGGGTGAACTTGACAGCTCTGCCAGAGAGATGGTAAATATTTAATCTTAAATAGTCTGTAAGAATATCTGTTCTGTATAGGTACATGTGGCCAAGAGAAATCAATGGCACCTAAGTACAACAACTGCAGCTGCTGGTGCCGTGCCAGAGGATCAGTCACTGCCCAAGAGATTTAAGATGCCCAAAGTCTGACCTGAAACGAGCTGTGAGGATTTGGGCAGCAGAGTTCTGAGGGCCTGACTGCACTCCAGAACTCCTCTGTCATCCCTGCCCAGCACTTCTGCAGCAAACACTCCACAGTGCACAGGCTGCTCTACGGTACCTCCGAGGGAAGCACAAAAACGTGATGTACCTGTGAAAGGAAACTGCTCCTCCTGCACAGAGACAGGGTGTGGAAAGAGCCCTGCAGAGTCTAAATCAGTCTAAGGAAATGCTGTTACAGCACGTGGGGGGAAGGCACCTACAGAATCTCCTCCTGGCTTTGTCTCACAAATAACACTTTCTCCAAAAAGCCTTTGTCCAGGGCAAAAACCAACCACACACCAGCCACTCCTGCCTCGGGCTCAAAGGAGAATGTAAGTCATGGTCTCCATCCCTGCAGAGCTCTGTAACAAACAGGTGACAAGGCTGAGCTCAGACATGGCTCAAACTGAATTCTGCCTCTCCTCTGTTACACTGCAATATGAAACTTAGGACAAAAAAAATGCTTGTATTATTCTAAGAAACAGATAACTTTTATTACACTGTGAGAATATGATACCTTCCCGAGCCTGTCTTAGCACTGCTAAAGGCACCAAATTTCTCCCTCTTAATGTGCAACTTCTGACCCCCTCAGCCACTTCCTTAGCAGAGAAAGATGGAATTAGGCTGTCAGCATGGGTTTAATGTGGTAAAGCAGAGACTGATTCACCAGTGAGTGCCCTAAAAGCAGCCACTGCACATTGCAGGGACAAAGAAACAGTTATTAAGCACCCATGACCCCCTCTTTATCAGATCTACAGTGACCTGTGTTGCTCTGTCAGAGGCTCCCTCTGTACATTCCACATTCTTTGTGATTTGTGATTCCTGCTCACATCCACGGGGCCTGACACAAGTGCAGATTAATCTGTACTGGAGCTTTAACTCCAGATAAAAAGGAAAATGAAATTTTTAACAGCTCTAAAAAGTGTGATATAAAATTACCAGTAAGCTCATACCAGACATGTCTGAACATTTCTGGGAGTCCACCATCAAAGCATCAAATACTTCAAAGTCAGTTTTCTTCACCTGGATGATGTTGTTGACAGTACCCAGCTGGCTGGTTACTACTGGCTGGGAAGAAATAAGGTACAAAAATTAGAATTAAAAAAAGCTTGTGGGACTATTGGATTGTCAAAACTACACAATCAGCGTTACGAAGGATGAGGTTTATTGCTTTAAAAATGTGATGGAACCAGATATGAAAAGAGCTCAATTTCAGGATTAAGGACTGGGAGGGAAAAATGCCAGCTGAACCTGCCAGGTCCACAGTCAATGCTACAGGCAGGGAGAGGGTCAGGTCTGGGCTGAAGTCACCAGTGACAGCAGGAGCTGAGCTTCACTTCCAGCTCTCCAGGGCTCATGGAGCCAGGTTGAGACCTGCCAGGCCTGGGGTAGGACACAGGATGGCTGGTGCTGCTGGTCTGCTGCAAAGCTAAGGCTGGAGTCCAAGGCAGGGCGGTCAAAGAGCTGAGTGCACCGCGAGGTAAATTCTGTGAGGTTTGCCAAGACAGCAAAAAGGAACCAGCAGGTGTGAATGCAGAGCTCTGAAGCAGGTGGGGACTGCTGGCTGGGCTAGGGTCCCAGCTCATTTTATAGCACAGGAGGAAGAACAGGCCTGGTAAATTCTGGCACAATTTCTGGACTACAAGAGCAGCAACAGCAACATCCTGGCACAGAGAGCCAGTGCAGCACAGCGAGACCTGGGCTGTCAGCAATCCTACAGTGCTCTAAAAGGCAGTTTGGCACCAGGCAAGAAAAGCTTGGCATCACTTATAGACCAGTGGCCAAGAGATCCTGTCCCTCTTTTGTTCCATCTCCTGCCTTCTGAGGTTCAGTCTGATGCTACCACCAGTCCAGCTGGGATCAGAAACCTCTCTCTCACCAGCTTGAACAGCCAGTTTCTGCTGTTAACTGATGCCTCCTCTCTGAAAGAAGCAGCTCTTGGGAGAGAAACCAGCCAGTTTCTCATCCTCAGGTGCATCAACCAATAACCAGTGACTCAAAGCAAACATTACCTCTGCAGGATCATGTGTCCACTGCCCATCCACAAAGAACTTGTACTGGTGCTCTCCTTCTGGCAGGTCCAGGATGGCCACAAAGTTATTGTGACTGGAATTTAAGACAAACAATCAGCCCTGAAAGGTTCTGAAAAGTACAGAGTCTATAAACTGTGACACACACCATGACACAGAGCAAAACCCTAAAATGGCAGTTTAAGAGAATCTCTGCTGCAATCTAAAGGTAAAGAATCAAATTATCATTAATGATAATTTCCTCAGTGACAGTAAGTTCCCCCACACTCCTGACATCAGGTAACTGGCACTGGGCTTTTGTAAAGTCACCCTCACATCTTCACGTTACTTGTTAGTACACGAGACCTCATTTTATCTGTGAGACTCCTGCTGATGGAACAAGATCAGCTTTCTCCTATTTCCTTCCCTTTCAGTATTTGCCATCATAAATTGCATTTCCCAAATGGCTATGAAATACATGAACAATGACTGCATAAAAGCAGCAACTTGATACTTCTGAGTTACTCTGGGGCTGAAGAGCTGCTGCTTGGCAATTTACTCCTGTGCTGTGAACTCCCTGATGCTCAACTGCCACTTCCCCTCTGCTCAGGAATGGAGTGCAAGCATCCCACCACAGAGATGGATGTGGGAATAACAGCTTGGAATAACAAGCTCTTCTAGTGAAGTGTACTGGGTTCAGTAATGTGATTTTATCCAGCCTCTAAAGAGGTACAAACACCTCCTTTCCCAGAATACATAATATGACAACAGAAACAGACAAACCTGTTGTGGTTTCTTTTTTTCTTTTTTCTTTTTGTAAAGAGACATTTTAATCCTTCTTCCATATTCATTTCACCATTTCCTGTCTCCCAGGCTTTCCACTCAAGAGTGTGACAGCAATACTGATGTTCCACTGGCCTTTCTTCCAGCTCCTCTCTCAATAATTTATTTCACATGCACAGAACAATCCTCCCATGCTGTTATATCAGGCCACAGTGCTCCTCCCTCAACTTTCCTAAGAAATGAAGACCCTTCTGCATCAATGACAGTGCAGGCAGCCACTCACTGAGATAAGACACACCAGGACCTGGCAGATCAGTCTTTCATGGATATGTCAGTGTTGACAGACAAAAGGGCTCAGATCAACAGTGAAAACTCAGATTCTCTGCCACATATTAAGTTTTAAATTTTTGAAAAACAAAACAACCTTGGTGTAAATGAAATACTTATTCAGGTACTAAATAAGCAGAGCTCCAGAGCTGTCTGGCAGGAAGAAGCAGTTGGGACCTTACTATGGATTTATTCTCTCATTTGTGCAGTGTCCCAGGCTCAGAGTTTCCTGGACCTTTGGAGATGGGAAAAGGCCACTGATATGGCCAGGACACACAGGTGTCATCAGAGACACTGTGCTTAGAGCCGGCTCTCCCTTCCCCACCCCATGCACAGACTGCACAACAGGGACTGGTCTGGGTCATTCCTGCGTGGTGCCCAGTGAACAAATCACTCCTTTAAAACTGACACACAGCTCAACTTCCTCCTGTGCCATCCGAGAATCAAAAAGGCAGGTTCTTATCACAGCTTCAGGAGCAGTAAATCCAAGCACAATCCTTGTATCCACTGACCATCTCTCACAGCACTGAGCTCTCCCAGTCCCTGGGGAGCACCACTGCAGCACAGTTTGTTACCTCCTTGTCAGAGGAATTTTACTCCAGTTGTTGAAGGATCCTGACAGATAAACTTCTTTCCCTCCTCCAGTCCAGCGAAACACCGTGGGCCGAGCCTGAGTGGGGGTTTTATCGTTCACCTCCAGGTCCTGCTGCCAAGCCAGGAATTCTTCTTTCTCCAATGGAGCCTGAAAACACAACATCTGAATCAGAAGGAACTCTTTCCTGGAACACTTAGACAACCTGTTGTACTGAAGGCTTTTTTTGCCCTCAGGCATAATTCTCTAAGGTGAAAGTTCTCCTAAGAGTGGTTTTTGTCAGATGGAGAATATAAACTGTACTTCTAGATAGAGCTGACAAGTTGATTTGGACAAATTCTGCAAAGATGCTAAAGCCTCCCAAATTTGCAGAAAGAGTGGAGGGCAAAATAATGCCACTCCCTCCAGCCCCAGTTAGGTTAAAAAGAAATTACTTGAGATCATCAAAGCTTTCAAAATACACAGACATAAGATGAGGAAGAAAAATAAGGAGAAATACTTATGAAGCATTTAGATTGTACAAATATTAGGCACAGAATTAAGAGCTGGCAAGAATACCATGAGCTGCCTGTAGACAACAGTTCTGCCCAACAGCCAAAATCTAAGTGTAATTTTCTGTTAGATGTTCTTAGGAAACACGATATGCAGCGAGACAACCATTTCTAACAACCCGTCTAACACTGAGAAAAAAAATAACAGATCTTTTGATATGGAAAAGAATAGACAGGTAAAATGTCACTGGTAACTGCAAAGGCATTAAGGATTCAAAGGAAGCTGAGGCATGATCCTTCGAGCTTTGAGCCAGCTATATTTCAGTTTTTCTACACTCAGTTCTTGCAGGAAACCATTACGCTCATTATCAGTGCCCTCTCTCTCCTTGGCATGGGAAGCAAGGGGGACGGTCCGTTTGGTGTAAACTCAGCGACAGAATCGCTGCAGATTGGTAACAAACAGCCCCACAACTGACAGCAGCGCCAAGCCAGTAACGCTGAGAGACAAGAACAAACCACCTTCATTTCCTCCGAGTGGAACAAGTCTGCATCCTCAGGGCTGTCCATGAGGATCTTTGGCCGCTCCCCCTCCTTGGCTCCTCCCGCGCCGTCCCCTCGGGTTCCCTTGTGTCCATGACGCTCCAGCCCCGCCCGCTCGCTGCTTGTGTTCCCCATGTCGAGGGACCTAAAAGAGCAGGAAAAGCCAGGTTAACACACAGGTTACTGTCGAAGCCAGAACACCAGCAGGCAAGAGAGCAAACTCATCAGTGGGCCTGGGCTGCGCTTCTGAGCTGAAGAGCCTCAGAAACTTGATTAACCCGAAGAGGTGTCACTGTAAAATGATCCCACGCTCAGGACAAAGACACTAAGTGGCAATTTTAACTACTCTCCATAATGTGCTACAGTTCAATACAAGAGCACCTTTGTCAGTCTCGCTCTAGAAAGCGGCCAAGCTGATCTCTGTCAGCAGCACAAAAGTGTTGCGTCTTCCCAAGCCAAGGGCTTGTTTTCTGCCTTCTGCACACCCTGCACACAACACTCCACCACACCAGCTGGAACATCAGTACAACTTTCTGTCAGAACACCTCAAAACCAGCCAAACAAAACCGTGACTTGGCCACAATAACGTTATCTCGGGTGTCGCCCGCCGAGGGTGCCGAGAGCAGCCGGGAGGGGCTCTAAACACAGAATACACTGAGTTGGAAGGGACCCACGAGGCCCATCGAGTCAAACCCCTGGGCCTGCACAGGGCACCCCAAAATCCCACGATGCTCCAAGAGCGTTGGAACATGAGCTCCTTGAGCTCTGGCAGCCTCGGGGCCGTGACTACCGCCCTGGGGAGGGAACAGCCGCTCCCTCCGCTCCCCGCTTCTCCCCGGTACAGGCAGAACGCGCCCGATTCCCAGCTCCCGCGGGCGCCCAGCCCCGCCGGGGGAGGCACAGCCCGGCCAGGCGGTCCCGGGGCAGGGTCAGCACAGCCCGGTCCGGCGGCCCCGGGGCAGGGTCAGCACAGCCCGGACCGGGACCCCCCGCTCCCCTCCCGGCCCCGCGGGCCCCGCACCCACCGCCTGTCGCTCCCGCCGCCGCCGCCGCGGCTTTTCCGCTTCCGCCCGGCCCGGCCCGGCCCGCGGCCGCCGCCGGGAACCGAGCCCGGCGCGGGGGTTCCGGCGCTGCTCCGCCCCCGGCTCCATTCCCGGCTCCGTTCCCGGCTCCCTGCCGGTGCCAGGGGACGGCTGCTCTCTCCAAGGAGAGTTGTGAATCCTCGGGGGAATTGTCTGTCCCCTCGCCGCCCTGGGTGGGCTCTGAGCCCCGCGGTCAGGGCGCGCTGGGACCGTCAGCCTGCGAGGAAGCGCTGGTGGAGTCTGAGCTCTTAACTGATGAATGTTTATCGTATGAAATAACGCTTCTGTATTTCTTTAGGAATTCCCAAACACACTATTTCGTTTTTACCCTTTGCTCTGCATCAGCTGTCGCTGTCTTTCTTCTACTTTTCTAACACAGAATCAACTGAGATCATCAAGTCCAACCTGTGACCCCACACCACCTTGCCACCCAGACCACGGCACTGATGCCACATCCAGGCTCTTCTCAAACACTTCCAGGGACGGTGACTCCCCCACCTCCCTGGGCAGCCCACAAACCTGAGCAGTGCACATGCCCTGCATCGCAGCTACTGAAGCTGATTTTTCTTAATAACCGGGAGAAGCAACCTGCAAACAGGCAGAAGGATTCCCACCAGTCGAAGTGTGTCCCAGTGGAACGGTGTTACACTGGGGGAAGAATGCTGCCGGCACAGACGGGTTTGCTGTGCCCCCCGGCGGGCCCAGGGCTGGCTCCCATCGGGTGTTTGGAGGAACAGCTGCTCCTCGTCTGTCTTTGGTGTGTCCAACACCCCGGCACGGGATAACCTGCCAGAGGGGTGCGAGGGCAACTTCCCCAGCCTCTGTGGAACAGCTCCCTGCTATAAAATGCAGCTGCTGTTGTTTGGGTATTTCACACAGCTCAGTGCTCCTAAATTCCTGGTCTCCAAACTCAATCGTTGTGTTCTCCCCAAGTTCTTTTTTTGGCCAGTACCAGCACACACACCTCTTGTGTGCTGGCTGTGTCTGCAGTGCAGGGCTCCATCCCTTGCCCCTTGGGATGATCTGCACAACAGCCAGGTTAGACCCGTTGCAGGCAACAGTACCTTTGCCTGGGGCCCACCCTTACTTCTTTGCAATAGTTATTTATACTTCTAAGAACCACAGAGAGGTAATAAACTGCAGGGTAAGGACTGCTAATAGCTCATGAGGCTGTGGGAACCAGTCTGTGGTAGGTTACAAGCATTATTCAGTTTTAAGTCTGGTATTAAAATGTGCTGGTTCCTCCCCACATGGTGATGGATCTGTGGTGTGCTAAGAGCCAAAACCTTTGGGAGTCTCCTATGTCCATGGCCTGTCCTGTCCACAGGTATCTCAGCCTTTTAATGCCTCCTCCTTCGCCCTTTTCCTCATGACTGCTTCCTTTTCAACCCCAATTCTTGTCTTCCCTCGCTGTGACTGGTGGGTGTAGCACAGTCCTGCAGCAATCAGCACATAACTCATTTTGTGAGGTGCTGGTGCCCGTGAATATTGAGGGTGGGATGAAATTACACCACGAAAACTAATTCATCCCCTGCCTCTTCACGGGCACGTCTGAGGCACAGTCCTCACAGTCACTGGGGTGCTGTTTTCTCCCATCAGCTTGAGTGGGAGCCCAATTCCCTCACAGCTGTTAATGCAGGAGATGTGGGAAGCAGGAGATTAGCTAAAGACATGCCACAAGGGCCTGGCAGAGCTCATCCACCCACGGATTTTTGGGAACCCTGGAGTTTTGCTCCTCTCTTTAACAGCATCTGTGACTTTTTGCCTCTGTCCACGCTTTCCAGCCTGAAGGCCTTAAAAACTCCCCCTCTTCTACAGGACCAGCCTCCATGTTCCAAAGGAAGACTACAAAATATCTTTTCTACCTCTACCCCTTGACATACCTGCTTAACCTTCCTTCTCTCACTTCTGGATGAGGATGAAACATGGGAAGCTGGGTCACATTTTTCCATCAGGACTTCCATATGTGTCACAGATGAGGCTCCTGGTTAACTTCCCTAGTGAGAATGTCAGAGTGTCACTTGCCATTGAAATAATTTATCACGACAACTCTCTAGTTTTCTGAAATGCCAGATCTCTCAGATGGGAGGCACAGCAACAGGCTACTCAGGCTTAGCCCTCACTAAGCACTCCCAACATGGTGGGGGGTGTAAAAAGATCGGGGGAAAATGTAACTGAGTAATTCTGAAAAAGAAATTCCCTTAAAAAAGTATACTCATAGTCCACGTATGGACTGTTCACAGCCCATAAATCAAGATAAAAGTAATTGATTAAATGCTTTATCTGGTGTCATGACTATGCTACACCACCTCCTAGAGCCATGAGGGGTTTTAAAAGCAGATGCTTGTAAAACACCTGCAGAATATGAAGAGCCACGTGGTCTCTGTTGGTTACCACGACAGCAGCTCAAGCAAAGCTCAGCTCCTTTTTTCCTCACTCACACCTACCTTCTTTACTGAATGCAAACTAGACCTGGCCTGACTATTAAATCTTACACAGAGCATTTTCAGAAATCAATTTTAAGGCAGTTTGATTCTCGGCTCATAAGAGGAGGAGACTCAGCAGACCTGGTCAAGGTTCTAATAATCATTACGGAGCATTCTGGGTGCTGTTCGGGCTGAGGGGTCAAGGGAAGTGACACCGTTACTACTGAGTCATTCTACCCCCTTGGAGATATCACTTACCATCTTTCTTCATCAGCTGACTCATTTTAAAAGAGAGCAAGGACCAAACAGGATCTGAGGTCAAGAGAGATCTCCATCAGGGGAATTCATATCTTGTGTTAGATGGGGTGAAGAACGGCCTTACAGACCCTTCAGGCACAAAAGAGAGGGATGGCACTCACCAATCACTGTGCTTTAGGCCAGAATCTCTCTTTTTCACTGTTGGGATTATCTCTTGCAGTTGATTAAATCAAAAAGCAGTTAAGCCCCCATTCAAAACTGCTTGAAATGGGAAGAAAGGGCTGCCACGGCTTGCTGTGACCACACAGCCTGCTCTGGTGTGCATCCCTTAATTCCAGTGGAGTTTCCCCTTCTCTTACCTCAGAGTAGGTATCAAAAAGAGATGCAGTGCCCTAAAACCTCGTACCATGCAGTTTAAAGTCTTGAAGAATCAGTTGATACCTGGCAAAGTTCTTTTTCCTTGACATGATCCAAGCTTATTTAGCCAGAGGGAAGTCACTGCAAGTGAAGTGAAAGCTGACTCAGCCCTACAGTGAGATATGACAAACCCAGAGGAGCCATCCTCAGACATGAGCTGGTGGATCAAATTCAGGCACGCCATAAATCACATTTTAAAGGACACATGAGCTAGTGCTTCTTGTAGTTTCTGTGCTGTGGTGAGCGAGCTAGGTGGGAGCAGCAGCATAACTTACCCTGGACTTCAAGACTGGATAAATTCAACTGCAGAAACCTTCTGGTTAAATTCCTTATTGTGATCTTCCATTTTACCTTGGGGTCCCAGGTTTGTTCCTCCATTTTTACACTGGCCAAGTGATGTTTCCAAGCCCCCTCCTCCTTCTAGGTCACTTCTGAATTTAGCCCACTTTGCCAGGCTGCCAGGGAGTGCTGCAGAGGAAGTCAGGCAGCCTCCTTAAAGGCTCCCTCCCATTTCAGGGACACTGCACACACTTGGCTGAGCGTGCAGAACACGCTGTTGTGCCTGGGAGATGGAAAATTGGGAGCGCACCCAGAAATCCTTCTCAATCCACTGCATCCCTTCCCTGCTCCAACACTGCACACCTTCCCAGACCTGATAGCTGAAAATGAGGTTGGAGATGGGAGGATTACAAGAGGGAACCAACATTCAGGTAGTGTTTCAGGCTGAAGGGCTGAAGGCAGCCAGAAGCCTGTGCCTGCTGGGGGCTCTGACTCTGCCTGGAGATGTTTCCTCCAGTGTCAGGGCAGGTCCCACATCTACTCAAGGATGCCGTGGGGAATCTAGTCCTTTAAATGCCTCATCTAGTGCATGTGCACACACAATCATACAAAGTAAAAACTAACTGGGTAGATGACTCTTGCCTCTCCCCTACTGAGACAAATCAGTAGCAAAATCCATCTTAAATAACTGGCAGACCAAGGTAGGCTCTGGGTAGGGAAATGAGCCTAGAAGAGATGCTCACACTGTTCCAGCAGACGCATCTGGACTGATGCTGAGAGTGATGGGCACTGGGGCAGCAATCAGACACAACCTATCTCCAGGCTGAAAGGCAGAACACGGGTCACACTCAGAGCCCATATCCAAAGATACAGGCACAAAACAACAACTTCTGGAGCCTCACTGCTTATGGATCCTGGTTGCAACCACACAAGTTGAAGAGCCAGTGCTGATCTTCAAGTCACAACCTGTAAACTCCTGGGTGTGCCTGCAGGGAGGCACACTAAGAATTTAATTTCATATTGTCCCCTTGATTTTAATTTTTTTTTTTTTTTTTTTTTTTTTTTTTTTTTTTTTTTTTTTTTTTTTTTTTTTTTTTTTTTTTTTTTTTTTTTTTTTTTTTTTTTTTTTTTTTTTTTTTTTTTTTTTTTTTTTTTTTGCTGTGCAATCTGATGAAACTCACACCACATGTTGTTGAAGTGTCTGGCTGACCCCCTTCACACAGCAGCAAAGAACTCCCACTTATATTTAGAAGGCCCCTTCTAGGGTTACATATCAAGATACGTGCACGGTGCTGTTTTGCAGAACGCAGCTGCCCCCCTAAGAAGCAAAAGATGCCAACATGATCCAGGAGCTGAGGCCAGCAATTTCAAGTTTCCATCTGTCTCTGCCTGTAATATGTGCAGGAAAGAAAAGAGAGCTGGACTTGAGGCATTAGCTGCTGCCTTTATCCTGCAGGAACACTGTAGAAAAAATGGAAGCCTGAGGCAGCTTTGTGGGAGGAAGTATCTGTTCACTTGCCCAAGACACACATGTTGAGTTGAAATTTGTTTTACCGCTTCCCACCTCTCCCTATTTCATCAAATAACATCCTTCAGTACATATATGTGAGAGTTGGGTTTTTTTCCCCACCAAAATATTTTAGGCCAAATGCAGAATAATGGATCAATAATCCAAACCTAGATGCATGACAATGAGAAACAGGGAATTTCCAGAGCCAGTCACAGATAATGACATTTGTATATATGCCCCTCAAAATATGAAACAGGTACCAATTCCTCAGTCAGACAACTGCATTCTGCCTTCCCCACCCATTGCTGTCATCAGGGCTCTGCTGCTTGGGCAGTGAAATGTCATTTAGGCTCCCTGTGTTTGATGCCTCCTTTGTATTGGCCTGTCACATCTACAACAGAATGGTGTGGTTGTACCAGGACCATTTCCAGCATGAGCTGCATTTCTCAAACATGGCTGAAAATTTATGTTAACATAAATAAATGAAGAGAACCGATAGCAGTACATTAGTAAAGCAAAAATAAGATTACCTGCGACACAGAAGCACTAAGGACATTAGAGGAATTGCTGCATTCTCCCTTCTCTGTCACATTAAGTGGTTTAATATAAAGCCTTTATTTTTGTACCAATCAATAGCACTGTAAGGTACCAACATTTATCTTCAGAAGCACTGAAGATACAATGGCTCATTTCTCAATTATATTGAGAGCAAGACTTCAAAAGATATTTATGAGCATCAATATGCAAGTTAGATTTCCAGTATGGTTTTCAAAAGCCTCTGAGCAAGTCGGGTGTCTAGCTCCTATTGATCTCAGTCCTCGTTGGGCACTTTCAAAAAAATACTTCAAGTTGCCTATCCCTATCCTGTATGCCCACATAAACTTTGGAAATCATCCTCCCTTCTCACACCACCAGCTGTGGTTTAGTTTACAGTAATGGGGTTCAATATTCTGCAGAAGGATCAAACTTTTTGTGCATGTTTGATTTTTTCATATGCTGATGGAGAAAAGTGTTTGTGCAGCACTGCAGTGGGGTTTACTCTGATACCAACAACTCAAGGTGGTGCAGATCTGACTCTGTGACCTGCTGAGAGACCTCCTTTGGTGACCTCCTTTGACCACTTTCCCCTCCTGGGAGGAAAGTCCCTCAGAAACCACAGAGGGGCCGTTCTGAAAAGGCCTCTGGATGCTATTTTGAAAATGAAGCAAAGAGCTCACCTTGCTGATATCTGAGCATTTCCTGACCTCTAGCAACTCCTGAGTGTACTAGCTGGGGCACACTGGCTGTAGGGGATCGTGTAGGGCAGAAATCCTCCTCCTTTCACTTTATCCTGAAACTGTCCAAGGGGTTAGAAAAAAAAGGATATTACTCTTTCAAATAGAAGAGGCAACCAAGCTTGAGAAAAACACTTCCCACATACCAGAAAGGACATGAATTAAAATTAATTTTATTCCACTTGTCCATGACATTTCTATCATATCTGATAATAAGGCAAGCTACTAAAAGTCCCACAAGACATATCAGACCATTGAAATAGTATTCAAAAACCAAAGAGGAGTTCACAGAACAGCCAATTCTTGGGATCATCAAAATCAGTGGCAAGATTCCCACGTGGACAAATTCGATCAGTGTAAATGCTGAATAAATCAACTGACTTCACCAGTGCTCCTGAAGTTTTATAGTGCAGTAATTCAGGACAGATGATGCTTCACTGACTTCAATGAAAAACAGAATTTGGCAGGAAGAAAAGCAAAAAAAAAGCACATTGAAAGTAAAATATCAAGGCACAGAAAATACATGCTACTTCCAGGCATACACTTTAACAGGTAAAGGTTTCTGGGGGATGATTTTTTTTTTTTTAAATGGGTAGTTGTACTCCTGTCAGATGATTCTTCTCTCACCTGCACCTGCAGAACTCCCCACGTTTCTGGGTAGTCACTCCAGATTGATGTTAGTGCAAGGACAGGGAGTGTAAGTTGGCACAACTTGCTTGAAGGTATAATAATAAAGAAAACAGAGCAACAACCACTGAAGATGTAGCCATGTCTTAATGCTCACCAGAGCTTACTCCTTCTAACACGGAATATTGGTGTGAGAAAACAAATGCATTCTATGAAACAGTTTTCAGCTAAGAAAACCAGCTGTCCCATGCTTAATTTTCATAATGTACCAAGAAACAGCAGTAATTTAGAGGCCACCAGTTCTGGAACCTAAGGCTGTTCACTGAGTAGTATCTTAGGATCAGGAAGAGTGTCTGTAACTAGGGAAGGGTGAAAAAGTCTGTCCATCTCTAACTGCAGTCATATATGGAGTAGTTGTAGCCAGATGAAAGGATGAGCTAAAAAAAAAAAGACATGAACAAAGTAGAACACACTCTGTGACTTGCTAGAGGAACAATAACAAAGGGATGAAGAAGAACACCTATTTAAAAAGCAGATCTTTTGTCAAATAGAAAAAAATAGGAACTTTTTACATACATGAAGCTTAAAGAGGAAAATATGATCAGTGCAACTTTAACGCAGGACTGGAGCTAAGTCAAGGGAGAGCAACAATGAAAGACACAAAAAAATAAATCATTAAGAAAAATACGGATGCTATGGAAGAAGAGTCTCTCTTAATAATCAAGTGATTGAAATCGGTCCCAGGTGGTTAAAAATCCAAGGTAAAGATCTAAAAGCTGAGCATGACAGAAGAAAGCAGCTGCTGAGTCAGAGTACACCCACGGCATTATAAAATCACATAGCAGGATAAAATCACTAACCCATGGTTACCATTGTGCCGAGACTATTTTAAAGTACTAAAAAAATCCTTAATGGCCTGATCCAAAACCCACCAGAGGTAACAGGAGTTCTTGTACTTCAGTGGGGTGTGCATCAGATCTTACATCGTGCACTACAAACAGTCTAGATGTGATGGCTTTGTCTGGCTGGGGGCAGCCAGGGAACATCGTGGATCCAGCATACATTCCAGAAAATGAGAAGGAAAAGGGATTATTTTTAGGGCAAGATCTCACTATACATTAGGGTGGAAGAGAAAATGCTGCTTTACACTGAGATTTCTTATAAATAAATAATTTTGAAAACCTGGTCGCGCCATGCTGATTAACTAACTGGACAATCAGTTCATTCACCAGCAACATGCCTCTGCAGACCTGTAGGGTCAAAGCTAACAGTCTGGAATGGTTTCCATCTCTTCTTCTTTTCCCCCCTCCCGAGGTTTACATGTTCATATCCTCCAAGTGCAGTCCTGGTCTTCAGATAGAATGCTGCAAGGACACAGAAATAAGTATGTTTAGAGGAGGAAAAGACAGAGGGTTTGCCCTGTGAGTTTAAATTATTAATTCTACAGACCTAATGGATACATTATGCCACATTAGTGGTACTTGTTCTCTTAACAAACATCCCTCTAGATTAGTGGTTCAATACAGGTTTGAATCAAAGAGCTGAGTTTCTAATGGTATTGTCATATGTCAATCTGAACTGAATTTTTAAACTGGGTTACCTGAATCAATGCAAGTTAGGACCTTTCACTGCCAGGAAATGAGCTCTTATCTGAAAGTTTCATGAGGTCAACAGCATCTGTGCTTCTTGGGGTGGTACAGAAAAGAATCAAGCAAGAACAACACCACCAGTAGGAGAGAACTTGGTAAATACAAACAGCAGTATGTGACAGACATTTTAAACTGGGTAACCTGTCTTGTGCATCTGCTTCAGGAAAGGAAGGAGCTGAGAAGTTCCCTCACATTCTTGTGTAGAGGGAAGGTCTCAGACATTATCCCTGGATGTTCTGACCTCACTGGCTTGTCCCTGGATTCTGGGGTCTCTGCTGGACTCCGAGATATCTCCTCATCAAGCAGCCACATTTAGCAGTTCCTTAAAGAGGGATCTGGGATATGAGGCTGTACACAATAAATATATCCTGTAGACAGCATTAACTCCTTTGCTGATTGTCTCCTGGATGCTACTCGAGACTCCAGTGGGCAGAAGCTATTGGGGGAACATTTCCTCTGTGTGCAGATGAAGCAGCTGGACCAGGATTTCTAATGTGGTTTGCTCGGGAAGTGAGGCTGATGTGGTCACACTGCCCCCCTGCATCTCCACGTGTCTGCTACTGCTCAGCCTCCAAGCTGACTGAACTCCTTGATAGACAGACAGAGGACTTTAAACTCTAATATTTTTACAAATTCAGTAAAATGAGGTAGGATAAAGAGATAATCAGTGAGAGCCCTTACCAATAGAAAAGCAACAGCAGAAGCTCACTGGCTGGGTGGACAACAAGAAATAATGTGGTAAAAGAACAAGAATGCCGTGACTTCACACTTGGAGCTCCATCAGTTACTGGCAGGTCCATCCCTGCAGCACGAGGCAAGTTGTCTTCCTTGACTTGGGCTTGAGTTTTTTTATGGTAAGGTACAGAGGACAGGATTGTAATGTAAAGGTCTGGAGGCTGACTGTGTAATTCCTGTCCTCATGCTGGCCTTCAGTTTATTCTGTCTCTGAAAAGACAGGCAGTCACTCAGTGACTGGTTGCAAAGGCTTCTGAGAGCCTCAGGAAGGGGACAGCAGAGATATTAAAAATAATGTTGCGTGCCTTTTCCCCCTGAAGGAATATTTATAACTTAGTAAAAAACTGCATTACACTGTATGTATACATCTGTTGCTGGTGCCCAGTCTGAATCCTTACTCCTTTTCCTTCTACCCAGAACTACCAGTGCTGCCTTACTCCACATATGCTTGATTTAGGACCCTTCTGGTTATGAAACAGTCCAAGCTGGTGCTTTCCACACAGCCTGGCAGTCTCTGTCTTCCTTCAAAGCCATGCGGACAGGTGGTATTTCTGAGGCCAAGTTCTAGATCAAGTGAGATTAAGGAAGGGGTCAGAAGTTCAGGCTCCTCTACGAAAGCATTAAAATATCACGATGGTTTGCATAAAATTCTGAACTCAAACATGAGTACCCTTCTCACAGAAGTTATTACCAGAGGATAGCTCTACCCTGCCTGTGGCCCTGGGTTCAAGATAAACAAAGACAGTGAACACTTGGTGGGAGTTAGAAAAGTCTCCCACTCTGGTCCACTGGCAGGAGTTTCCTGCATTCCATCCTTTGGTGTTTTGGCTTCCCTTCCTCAGACCAAAACGGTCTCTGTGTCAGTCAGAGCTCTACAGAAAAGTTTCAGTCTTTACTTCACTCTAAACCTCCTGCTCATTCTTTCTACCTGGCTCACTCCCACTTGCAGAGAGTCACTGGAGAGGGGCACAGAAGACTTGGGCTTTATAAGATAAAGCTTGTGGGTCAACTGGGAGGTAAAACTCATGTGAGCTCTAGTTCTGCCCTGAACAGCATTGTAAAGTGTCAATCAGACTCTAGAGACAGGCTAAAAGTGAGTCTAAAAATCTCCTGTGAGAAGCTGAATATTGTTTCAGACTACTCACAGGTTATGCAGCAATCCAGGAATGGGATAAGAATCCATGATTCCCATGGTAGCATGAAGGAGAATGTGACGTGTTGAGATCCAGTTAAGAAAAGGGTTTGGGGTACCTGGGGTCTCCTTCACTTACATAAAGGAGGATCCAGCCCAGGATTTGGTTTCCCTAAACCCTGCCAGTGGAACTCAAATGAAATCCAAAGACACCTTGTGTCCTGTGTCATCAAAAACCAAACCAAAACAGTTTTGAATCCGCTTCAAAAATTTCAAGACTGCTCTGAAAACACAGATTATGAATGACTTGAGAGCCCTCACTGACTGACAGAATTACTGTCTTTTGCTGAACAAAACACTTAGAGACAGGAAGGCTGATTCCAAGAGCACACAAGTCAGTGGAAAGGTTACTAACAGGCTTCATGAAGGATCATAAGAACAGTGGCAGGGGGTTGGAGCAAACAGCCACTTTTTGTGTGTGTGTGTGTGTGTACATTCCACATATTTCTTAAGACAAGGACATCAGAACTAGAGGATATGGTTCACAGCCATGTCACCTGTCATCAGCTATCTTGCCATTCACTCTCTATCCAGGCATGTTGCAGCAGACCAAGCCACCCAGGCTATGGCACACAGCTCTGCACTGTTTCACTTCACAGGGACGCCTCCTTATGGAAGGCAAATATGTCCCTTTTCTCACTGCAGCTTGTGATGGACAGCCTGCCTAAGGCACATATGCAGGGCCAGACTCGGTGGTGACACAAATACTGGCTTCAGTTCCATCTGAACAAGCAGTGGAAATGTAATTCAGTGCTCAGGACTGGCAAGGCAGGAGCACGGGAGGAGCTGACAGGAGGGGGTGAAAGTGTATGGAGAATGGAGGGAGAATAATTTTGTTCCAGTGTGGAATGAGGGACAGCCCTGGTTTGGCACACACCAACAGCTCTGCACTAGGGGATTCCTCAGCATAATGAGGAACACTGTTTACACTGATCAAGACAAGTTTTATTGCTGAGCTGTTAATCCCAGTGATGCAAATGATGGCTTCCCCTTCCTTACATTCAGGGTCATGACTGCAGAAGGCAGACGGTTCCCAAGTGTTGGGTGGGCTCTGTTCCAGGATATTATATATATATATATGTATCACTGTATATCTTAATATATGTTTGCTAAAGATAACATGCCAATCCTCAAGACAAACGAGGCTCTCCAAGGCAGCAGGAGAAGCCCTGAGCTGACTTAGCACCAAGCAAAGCATCTACATGAAAAGTCAAGGCTGTTTCTGCCCTACACACGTAGGTGTTGAGCGCTGTTATTCCTGTGCTACCCTTGCTCTGGGACTGAACGAGCCAAAGAAGGCACTCAGGGATGCCTGGAGGTAGGGATTTTTCTGAAAAGTGAAAGGTGTTTCCCCTTCTCAAGTCTACCAGTGTTACTGGGTACATTTGGGGGTGTTATTTGGGGTATAATGTCGCTGTTTGTTCAAAGCAGGAATTTCTTGCGCATCCTTTCTCTGCAGCTCCCACCACTTCTACCTTTGACACCCTGACCCAACGTTTTCCTCCTGGCTGAGACATGAGTTGTTTTGAAGGAGAATTCACAGCCAGCTGAGCCTGACCCAAGGTCCTGTACCAAGAGGAAAAGTTGTGTAACAACGGGTAGAGATTCCCTCCTGCCAACCTGACTATGATGCTGTGGAAGAACTCAACTTCTCATTACACCTTGAACCTTTGATACTGGCAGCAGGGCCATGGATAAATCAGAATTAGCTACTTAAATGTAGGAATTTATGAAGAGTTTATGAATACTAGAGTGACACTCCCTGTGAGAAGCTGTAGCAGTTCTGGGAGTGTAGATAAAGTACTACAACAAATTAGAAATGGGATAGTAGGATGGTAAACAACAAGCTCTAAGGAAAGATACCTAAGAATATGGTAGGAGAATACCCAGGGGTTCTCCCAGGGGTAATTTGCAATGAGGCTTGTTATCCTTTGAAGACCAAAAGAAGCCACAAGGAATGTCAGCAGGAGCAATTGGGTACTGCAGCAGCTGATGAATTTCACATGGATAAAACACACAGTAATGCATCCTGGAAGGTCAGGCTTTTCATGCATCTTGCTGAAGTCAGAATTAACTTCCAGGGAAAATGTGTGTGTAGTCATGGAAACATTAAATCTCTGCTTAACGGTAATCAAATAAATCTGTCGTATTATTGTATTAAGGTTATTTTGTGCTATCTCACTAATACTGAAACGTATTAAAGTTGGCATAGAATTAATTCACAGTCACTTCACTTCAGCAGAGGCAAAGTGGCTGGTAGCAAATAATCATGAACAAGGTACAAATGGATGTGACATAACTGCACGGAGTGTGCAGTACATTCCCACCAGTGGCACACCAAACTGAGTAGAAAATATAAATATATACAAGTAAGGCAACAAAGGAGACTCAGGGAAGTGTGGAGAGTAGAAAGACCAGTTGACTCCTCCTGTTAACTTATTTTCACATCGAAAGATTGTTAATGCCAACAAATACTTCCTTAGAAGCAAAGGCTTTTCGGAGGGTGACAAGTGAGAGGGAGAAGGGGAGCAGTCAAGACTCTGGAAAGCCAGAGAACAGGGTGAATCCAGCAAACCCTGAGCCCTCACAAAACTCAAGGCCAAGAGACCTCTACAGAAACTATATACAGAAATTAATATCCCAGCAGGGTGCTGAGGGTTCCCAGGCACCCCTCACGCTGCCCTTCTCTCCTCCTACTTTGACAAAAATATTGAGCTGCTCTCCTTGCCTAAGAAATGATGAGTAAGGTGGCAAAGGCGATCAGAGGAATTTACTGCTGCTGTCAATTACCAAACTTGGCACCCCCTGCCTGAAGTGACTTGGTTTGAAATCTGTGAGGGCTGAACAAACTGAGCACAAGCTGAAACACAGAGACTCGTGCTTGCAAAATGCATAGAAAATTAATGAATATACAGGAAGCTTCAGATTCCGTGGCACCATCTAATAATGTCCTACAGAACTGGACTCCATCTCCACTAACTTTCCTGTAGTTCAGCATAGTGCACTTCAAATTTTGTCTGAAAATGCTGTACATGTTTAATCAGCTACTCCATTCCACTCCCCAGAGATGTCTGCATTTCAGTGGTGGATGAGGTGATCTCTGTTTACAGTTTATACATAAGTTTGTACAGTGCACTGAAAGGCTCTTCAGCCAAAACAGCCAATAATAAATTAATTTAAATTGGTTATTTTAATGGGAACTGCATAGTACAATGGAGAAAATTTGTTGCATCGTTTTAAGAAATGGTACCAGTAGCCTCATTACATTTGTCCTCTTTTGCAAGTAAGTTTATAACCCACCTGGGTAACCCTTGTGTTACAGAGATTCATTCACTGAGCTCTGTCACTATTGTTGCAGGTGTAGGAAGGCAGGACAATAACACAGCACAGAGAAGGAATGGCCTTACCCCACAGAGAGCCAAGTCAAAATTACATTTGTGGTTACTTTTGATAAAGTTTGGCACCTGTTTTACTGTCAAACAGTAAAAAACCAATTGACTGTCATGCTCTCCTTACAGAGTTAAAAGATAAGTTGGCCAGATTATGAGACTGAAAATTAGCACCTGGGGACCCTGTTACCTGAAATCTAAGGATCTCTGTGCAGTTGGACCTTGCAGATGGTGAAAACAAGGAGCAGAAAAACCAAAAAGCAACTGGCCAAAATTGGAGAAACCTATTGGAGCTGCAGGAGTTTCTAGAAAATCCACTGCTCGTTTGTGTTTCACTACAGACAACAGAACTTTCTAAACGGCAAAATACATCAGAATTGTTCTTTTGGAAAACATTCGTGCATCCTTAAAGAGATAAAAGTGGGTAGTTCTGGCAATCTCAAGTCTGTTATTCTGAAGCCCATGCACAGGGAACTGATCACAGCACTTCCTTACCGTTGTGAAATGAACTATGCAGTAGATCCCGATGACGACAAGGCCGATGATAATCGACGCAACAGCGACCCAGAGGGCATTGTGACCCAGTCTTTTTGATCCTTCTATGTCTCCTTGGTTATAACTGTTCAAAGCCTGGAGAAGAGAAACAGAGAATTGTAAGAAACCAGAAATCTACAGCCCAACCAATAGGACTGCTTTGAACTGGCATTGCCTGAGCACGTTGGTACTGCAGGAAGGACTCCAGAACGGGGTGATTTGCTTTGTAAAAACAAATGTCCACTGCCAAGGGAGGCAGGGAGTCCAGTTTCTGTTCCACTCACATTCAGTGCATTTCATGGCAAATACAGCTCTTTTTTTCCTGTGTTCATACGATGCCCACCAGCATAAAAGCTGTCAAACCAACACTAATCCACCCACTTGCATAAACCAGTGGCTTTTATCTCTAGATTACTTCTGTAGAATATGTGAACTGTTACTTGACCACTTCCTTCCCGGTGAAATAAACTCTTATTCTTCATAGGACCATAAGCATAAAAAAAAGAGCATAAATAGGCTGCATTTTTAGAGGAAGCCTCAGCAAACCTTAAAAAAGCTTAGTGATTTCCTATTTTTCCAGTGTTTTACTTTTCAAAACAAAGTTTGAAAAATTAATAGGTGGTTTGCTAGTGGTGAGAAAAACATGAACCAAAGAAATACAGATAATTTGAACAAAAGATCTCAGTGCCACCTTCGTGGGCTACAAATTCTGTCCCTTTGCATTTCTGGAAGATACTGATAATTATTTTCATATCCATACTGAGTTATCATCCTTAGCATCAGACATACCGATGTTATGTCAAGAGACTTGAGTTTCTCTCTATCGACCCATGACTTCACAGATGCTTTATATTCATTACATGCACAGATTGCAAGGTGTGGTAGGACCACTCTGACCTTTTAGTCTTTTGTGAAACAGACAGTAGGATTTTCTGCATTAATTTTTGGTTTAACCAAACTGTTTTTAAAAGAAGAGATTCAGTGAAGGACACTGAAGTATTTGAGTGGTATACGAGTCTAACACAGTTTGTTGTGATTTTTTCCCCAGGAATGACATGCTATCAAAGCACTAAAAAGTGTATAATTCCTAAGAATTATTTTGTGAAATCAGGAGAGTTTGAGTTCATAAAACATAGCACTGAGTCCAGATTTCTTTATCAGAGTGCTCTATTGTACTGTCTCAGCATCCTTCCTCAGGGAATCAGATTAGTCATAACATGTTCTTTAGTATCACACGTGTATTTCAGGAGGTATCCCAGAAATGGGAAGTGTGTAAGGAGAAATATGAGGACCTGATCAAATGAACTGTTTTGTGGACTAAAGAATTCAGATTGTCTTTAGAAAATGACTGCACAAGGTATCACCAAGTGCTATAATGAACAGGCTTCAGTTTTAAATCACTTTTTTAGCAAAGACAGAATGAAAGTTAATTTGAGTAAAAATCTGGGACTGTGGAGAGCAGGAAAGGGAAGAAAGGTATCAGAGGATACCAAGAATTGATGTAGAGCCATTTCTCCCAAGCAGAAAAAATAATTAGGGACATTATCTGTGTGTTCTGTCGATTAGTGAGCACACAAAGCTAATGGGCTTAGATGCTTTCTTGGTGTTAGCACTGCAGTAAGATCAGCCCTGCCAAGACAGTCCCAGAGCAATGAAGCCTGTATTCCTAGAACTGTATCTCAAGGATAAGTGCAGGTACTTATTCTCTGGTGTCTAAGAAAGGCTGAGATGCTGATGCACTGTGGTCCTTAAAGAGAGCACTGATACATTTCTTCTCTTCCTGGAAGCCTACATGCCTTAACATTTCTCTGTTTTATGTCCCTAAAGAATATCACTAATACCTCTGCTCTACTGTCAAATTTTGTTGAGGCTGACTAGCAGATGGAAAGGATAGAATGGGGAAAAAGGGAAGAGATGGAAATGAGAGAGGGGGGGAAAGCACATAACCAAATAGGATGGTGACCCTTCTTATTCTCCACCAGTGCAGCCTCCTGTTACCAAAAGGGGCTGGCACGGTTCTCTCCCCTAAGCTACTCTGCTGTTTCCAGCAGTTCTGTCTGCAGAAGAAGAGCTTTCTTGGGTTTTCTTCAAGTACAATTGGGAAGGTCATTAAAGGGAGTATGGGGATGGCTTGGCTGGGCCTGGAGCAGGCTGAGCTCCTCCTGCCTCTGCCAGCAAGCAGAGATGTGACTGTGGCTACAGAGGGAAACACAGAGAAGCATCACTGACACCCCAGCCCTGGACTTTGTCCTCCACACTTATCAAAGCACTCCCTTTGCGTGGCATCTACAGAGTGGTCCTGCAAAAAGCCTAAACTCAGTCCCCCAGGCATGAGGTCTCAAAACTGAGACAGAGTTGTAAGCAAGACGTGACAGCCCCGGCTTGCAGTTCTGTGCCATTTTACTAATGTATTTAGGAAGTCTGGAAAATGTCCATGTGATTTCTGCAGGTACTGCATAAATAATTCACTATGCAAACTTTAATAAATAATGGTGGTTTAATACAAATCCACGAGGAAGAGGAGGAAAACAGCCTTAACAATACAGAATAGGATTTGGGAGAGACAGGAAGGAGACAAAAGTTTCCTCATGAAAATGTTTAAATTAAATGAAATAACTTAGATGGCATTCAAGAACAAATAAGAGGTTTGGGAGGGGTGACTGGGGTCTGACACAAAGTTTTTTGAAATTCATTTACTTCCATCTGCTTCAAAGGGCTCCTGGTCAAGCTTCCAGTTTTACACATTAGACATAGAAAACATTAAATATTTAAGCCTTAAATGTTATATCTGTTTATTTCCAAGGGCTGGGCAATATACTAAGAATACAGCATCTGTATGAGACATTTGGTCTGTCCAACTTTTGAAACAAATTTCAGTCCTTTTCAACCTAATACCATCTGATTTCTCAGGTTTCTGCTACCTCGCTCCCTATGAAGTCATAAACTAAATTAAAGTCACAGTTCTGCAGCTGTTAATTTACTTGAGTAATCTCAGTGACTTCACCAGGTTCACACACATCTATTTATAAAATATATTCTCAGTTCAACAATAAAGTAACTTAACCTCATGTGAACAGAAATTTGCTGAATTAGCTACAAACTACTAATCCCTTAGGAGTGTGGGAACGTGTTTTCTGTTCCACATTCCCAGAGCACTGATCGTGGCAAAAGCAGAAAGGACACTGAATTACTTTAGAAACCCTCCTCTACATCTCTTACAAATCTGGGCAGACCAGACTGAGGTTCTCTGATGAAGATTTTCTAAGCTCCATAAGCCAGGCTGTGTGAACCTTATTTGGCTGTGCCTGGAAACGAGACACTCTCCAGTTCAGTCCCAAGGAAGAGCGAGACGTGCTGACTCAGTGTGACTCCACTGTCAGAGCAGCTCCAGGGAAAGAGAAGGAAGAGGGGACACTCGGGGAGCAATTCAGGACTGGGCTCGATCTCTGCTTTTTGGCAAACAAAACAGGCAGGTGCTGAGCAGGACACACGAAAGAGGAGTTTGCTCTGCAGGCTGTTGCAGAGGAAAAACTTGCCAGTTTGCAAAGATAAGGGCCATGCAAAAATGCCTAAAAACAGCTGCTGAGCCCTGCTGTTTAATATTCCTGAAGTAGGTACAGGCTGTCCCATACAGTGTTAGGTGTCCAGGTACCTACAAGCTACTTAGAAAAATATGCATAAAGTTTGCAAATAAACTTACAGGCACACTGGTCACTCTGCTAGTCGCTGACCTGACCAAAGCCAACACACTGTACATGGTTCATTAAGATCTCAATTAGAGGTGACTCCCCCAGAAAGTAAGTTCCATCCCTTGCTGTCCCATGACTTCTGCCACCCCCTTGTTCATTATCTCTGATTAAGGAAACTCATGTACAGACAAAGCATCTGAATCCAACAGCAACAAATACGGAAAAAGAACTTGTTACTATCAGAGGCAGATGAGCCAAGATTGTCACAGCTTGACCACATATGTTGTTTGAAGCATGTAAATGATTAAACAAAAATGTGTCAACACAAAGAGGCAGTTAGGAGCAAAAATCATTGAGAAATAGCTTTTGAGAGACTGTTTGGAAGCTGTTACAAATCCAAGGCCCTGTGGAATTAGATGGCTAATCCGACATACAGATCTTTGAAATAAAGACAACTGAACGAGGCGTACTGAGAAAGGGCAACAAAGCATGTTCAACTGTCAGACCTCAGTGCTGGTATTGGAAATATCCAGTTCATTTCTCAGAGCTGTCCCACAGCCTCCCTCTAGCTCTGATCCCATGAGTCAGACACAGCCAGTCCACAAGAGCCAGCTCGCAGACACAACTGGCAGTTCACTGCCAGCCCAGTGCTCTTTGGGTTCACCATGGGGGACAAGACACGGCTGCAGATAAGGAGCCAAAGAGCTCAGGGACACCCTGCCTGGCCACCAGAGAAGTCTCTTCTGTCACATAAACCCCCACACTGCTGCCCCTGATGCCTTTGACCAGTGTAAGAACAGGGTAAGTCTGAGCGAGGCACCTCTGGGGCAGAGCGAGCCAGCTGATGGTACAGCAGTGCAGTACAGCTGCTGGAGGCACCAGGGAGCAGAATGGATGGCATCTGGCTGGAACTACAGAAGAGCACTGAGAACAGTGATCCTACAGACAGGAATCCTGGCCAGGACCCTGAGGAAAACAGAACTCCATTTACTAAACATGCCAAGCAATCCTCCCACTCCAAGTGACCAGTGACTCGTTTGAGGGGGCTGCTCTAATAATGCCAGTACAGTGTGTTACTGATGCCATTAAGTGACCATTCTACCAGCTGTCCTCTGACCCCTGCCATGAGAAACAGGCAGGTAAGGAACGAGAAAAGGTTATTATCGCAATAGGGAGAACTTGTGAAAGGTTTATTCTAAAAATATAGTCAAGGAGGTAAGATCTGTAATGGTAAGGTTTGTGCCTCCAAAGGTGAGAAAGGAGTGAGGAAACCAGTGCTGGAGTTGTAAATGGGGCAGCAGAAGAGACAGAAGAGACTGAAGACAAATCTGTCATTTATTTTGGGGTGTGTTAGAGCCTAGACTCTACTTTTAGAGTGAAAATATTGTCTGAATTTAGAGCTGTTAAGGAGGACATGACACAGGTACACAGGGTGCTGAACCAGGCCCCTCTCTAAGCCAATAGGACTTTCCCTTCAGGCCCATTCTAGGAAGTGGAAATTTGTAGAGAACTCCAGTTTTGTGGGTCTTTATCTCTGACACGAGATCTCAGGCAAGTTCTGCAGACTATAAGGTATCTTTGTAAGAAAAGAAAATATCCTGCTCTTGTATCTCAGTGTTAACCCTCGCTGAGAAAGAGAGGGAGGATGCAGATCCCAGCAGAAATAGAAACAAAACCAGCATAGGCTAAAATACAGAACCTGCAGTTGAGGATAATGGAGCAGTTACAGGTTGCAGCTCTGAAAGGCGGGGGATCAGGCTGTAGAAAAGAAGTTGGATGAGATATTTTTATGGAAAAGGATAGGTTATAAGTGCTGTTGAGACACAATGCTGTCGAATCAGAAGGGTTTCACAGACACTGGAGGTTACTGGTCTGGTTTTTGTTTCCCCCTGTCACAGAGTGGGCAGCTGAGACCCGCACAGACTGTTTAGCATTCAGGAAGTGCTCTTCCCACCCTGGGTTCTACATATCCCCTGGTGACAGTTACTGATGCCTGACTCCAAAAACCTCCATGAACTTCAACTAGGCCGTGGGTGGAGATTTCTCCATATGGGGTGCAAAAATCTTTAGAGGCCAAATTCTGTCCTTGACAGATAACTTCTGTGCAGCCCCAGTGTGCCTTGGTGTCTCACTGTCACAGTGAACAGACGCTCACAGCCCCAGATCATCAGCTCTCATTACTTTATATAGCACCCTCAGTGTCCGTGGACAGAAAGGATGCCGGGTACCAGCAGAACCAGGACCTCCCAAAGCAAGGAAAAGAACACATTGTATAGTTAAGGTAACAACAAAGAAAATAAACACAGAAGGAAAAAAAAAAACAAAAAAACCCAAAAAAACAGGCAGTTAATACTTAACTGCACAAAAAGAGTTGGGAAGATGGCTTTGGAATAGCATCTTTAAGTCATTTTCAAGCCTAAGCAATGTGATTTCTAATCAATCTTACTAGTTTTAAAAGAGTGTGCTTTAGGATATTTTAGGCATAGTTAACTATTCTTACACTTAATTGTAAAAGAACCCCTATATTTTTACTTACCTTTTCAGCCTGACTGTCAGAGAAAAGGATGAAAATACACGTTTTAAACCTTTTTCAGCTCCTAAACAACAGAAATACATTGCAGTATTACTGAGAACCCTGATCATGTATACGACTGGAAAACTCTGGATCTGACTCTGCAACTTTTAACTGAGAGAAGGAGATTCTGTTCCAACAATCCTTCTGAAGTTAATGGGATTGCTGGATCGTAAGGAATATGCATATCAATTACAGGTTGTAGGAGTAAGGCTGTTCTCTCAGTGTATTTGATTCTCAATTTACAAGGGTTTTTGCCGACAACCAACAATCTTTATAGCTGTATTATTCTAGTAAATAGTATCAAAGAACCTGTTTACTGGAAAAAAAACCGTGCTCCTATCGTATCTGATTAGCTGTAGCAGAAACCAAATCTGATTTCTGTTCCCCAGTCGCCACTTCCACGCATAGACACTGTGTCCAATCCAGCATGCAACTTATTTGATGTAACAAATCCCATTAACTGGGATAAACCTGCTTCCCTTGCATAGCCTGAGAGTGAAAACTTATTTGAAACTGCCTTTTGCTCCACGTTTTCCATCGGCTGCTGCTGGGACAGCTCGGGTGGACCCCTGACTGTGCCTGCTGATGCTCCCAGGCTCGCTGCCTCACCCAGCTGTCCACAGGCTCCAGGGACAAGCGGTTCAAAGGCGGCTGGATGCCCCTTTCCCGGACGGCTCCTCCGGCCCCCCTGGCAGGGCAGCGCGGGGCTTGGCTTGGACCCCCATCGGGGCTCTACTCACCATGACGGCGTAGACGAAGGCGACGATGTTGACGGGATAGGCGGGACAGAAGCAGGCGAGGATGCTGAGGAGCAGGTAGTTCTTGGGCCGCGGCTGCGGCGGCCCGTCGGGCAGCTCATCCTCGATGTTGGTCTCGGGGCTGTTCTCCAGAGCCCGCTTGATGTCGGCGCCGGCGGGGAGCGCGGACATGGGGCTGCGGTGCGGAGCTGCGGGCGGGCGGCGCGGAAAGCCCAGCCCGGCGCTCCGGGCAGGCGGGACCCGGCGCGGCGCCGAGCCAAGGGAGCCGCCCCGGGACGGGGCCGGGAGGGGCGCGGGGGCCGCGGGAGCTTTCAACTCGCGAGCGAAGTTCACGGCGGGGATGGCAAGAACACCAGCTCCGAGCGGCAGCCGGAGAGAGTTCCCAGCGCCGCGTCCCGGCTGAGCCGGGTCTGGGGAGCCCCGGGCTGGCCCTGCCCTGCCCTGCCCCGCCCCGGGAGCTCAAAGCCTGCGGGCGCTCGCGACTTTTTGGAACTTTTTTTGCTTGTTAAAAGACTTTATGCCAGTTTGCGTGAGCCCTGTGACGGGTTTAAGAACTTCCCCCTCCCCTCTCCCCACCCCGAGTTTAAGAACTCGCTTTTCCGATGTCTGAGCTGCGTCAGCAAGTGGGGTAAAGTTTGCAGAGACGTTTCCTCGGGTCTGGGATGAACTTGCTATCTCCTGTAACTCCGGCGACTTGTTAAACTTAGGAAAAGCACTGAAGATTAGCAGAAAATAACAAACCGAAAGGATTATGGCCAGTTTCTAGCGAGTGATTCAGTACTCACTGAACATAGCACCTGTAAGGTGAAATCCACTTTGGGGGATGCACAAGAAGGAGCAAAGAAATTAATATTATTTCCAAACACTAATATTTTGGGAAAAAATTCCCTAACAACCACAAAACCAGTTAAAAAAAAAATCTGCTTCCTTCATGGTTTTCAAGTTGGTGAGAAAAAGTATGGCAGCCTGCACTTAGAAAGGAACAGGCTCTGTTTCTGCCATGTGATATTAGAAAAAAACCTTCAAAGCTGCATGGAGCTTCAGCAAAATGGAGAATTCTGATCAGATGAAAGCTGAAGTTGAGATTTTGCTCTGTCTGGCTCCTCCTGAGAACATTTAATTAAATAAAGTTACAAAAAATAGTAAAATGTGCTTACAGCTTTATGAATGAGACACTTTTGTCACTGGAATTCTTGCGATTGACTTGAATGGAGCCACATCCCCAGTTCCGGATATCATCCAACAAGATACAACGTAACACAGTAAAGACATGAGAAATAAAGGTGCAGTATTTTCACTTTCATAGACATTAATCATCACTCAGCTGCATGCCTGGAATATAACATGGAATGAGAATCTGCTGATCTATCAAAATGTCAAAAGAAAAGATTGTGTATCTTTAGGAAAGATTAAGAAATACCAAGTCCCATCTGCTTTCCGACGTGGCCATTGGAGTTCAGGCACAAGCTCTGGGTAGCTGTAAAATCTCTGACCTGTTTCTTCTCAGGGGGCTTTAAACACAGTCAGCAGACCAGCTCAGAAAACACAGTTCACATCACACCACACAACTACTGTTGAGAGTCCACGGACTCCATCCCGTTGCAAGGGATCAGCTTCCAGGGCCACTCGGAGCCTTTAATCCATGAGCACAGTTTCAAGGGACCGTGGTCATGGCTTAGAGTTTGAGTTTGCCTGCTGGTAGCTGAAACACTCACAGACAAAGAAGAACCAATGAGAACATCCAGCTCACTTAGGGCAGTTTGAGCCATTAATGGTGAAAATAAATACAACCCTGTGGCAAATCAACGCCATGGAGAAGGCACAGTTCTGTGCAGAGATTGGCCAGGGAGACTTGAACCTCGGGTGTGAGGAAAGGATGGAGATTCTTGCACTAGATCTAACATCAGACATTTAGTTTAAGTGCCTTGATAGGGTGATCGAGAGACTGCAGAGTTACCAGTCACATCAAAAACTTGCACTAAATTTTTCCCTGAGGACAATGAACTGTAGGTAGAATTTGGGCTCTCTTAAGTTGGACCGTGTGACTCCCTTCCCAGGTCCCTAAGACACAGACCTAAGAGGAGAACCTGGGGGGCCTTGTGTGTTTCTAGAAACAGTAAAGTTTAATTGTTCAAATGAGGCTGCTAAAGGATGCTAATGGATTGAAAAGAAAGCAGGAGACAGGAAGTGGTGAGATATTCAGGGGCAATTTGTGCTAATGAGACCTCATTAAGAGGTTCTTGAGATAAAGGTTCTGTCGTGAGGCAGTTAGTGTAGCTGAATTTAGTGGTTTATGTAAAAGATGGGTTAAAATCCAAGAAGTGTATCCTGTTAGGACAAGGCTGATTAAATTTTAAATAGCACTGACTTGGAGCCACTTACTGAGGTGAAAAGAAAGAAGGAGGTACTCAGCCAATAGTTTGGTTTTACAAGCTGCAGTGATGGAGAGTAGTTACATTCCCGGGAACCTCAGAAAGGCTCCAACTTCAGAGGGGAGAACCATTGTGCTGAGACGGCTCAGCAGAAAGCTGTGAAAATCATTTAAGAGCACGAACTGAGAGTTTTTAAGATGTAGTTTCATGAAAAATCATAAAAATAGCCCTCCAAGAGAATGAGTCAGAGCAGCAATATTCCCGCTTACAGCCTTGCACTTCAAGCTGAGCCTTGAAAAAGAAACGGATCACTCTGCACAGAGCAGCGATTTTCCAAGGAATATGAGTAAGGCAAGGTGCTGGATAAATCACTGCCATGATGGGCAAAGCAGATGGGCTGGAGATGCGACAGTTTCAAGAGATGTATTTTTTTAAAGGTCTTCTTCCCCTGATTTGAGAGTGTGCTGTGGCTTGACAGCAGGATTCCTGGTAAGGCAGAACATGTCTCTCCATCACACTTTGCTGTATTGCTGGTAGGACTCTCCTCAAAGGCACATTCATGGCCTACAGCGGTTCTGGGAAGAAGTTCCAGTGTCTGCACACAAGTCAAAGTCCACAGAAAGATCAAAATGGTAGTTTAATGCTCAGAGGTTGTTTGGGACTAACAGAACATGATACAAGGGGCTTCCTCACTGGTTCTCCACAGCACTGAGAGCAGAGTCTCTGCAAGTCCTGAGCACTATGAACTCTTCTCATGGGTAAAGCCACACCAGAAAGAGCTGGTGGGACCTTGTACTGGCCTGAGAGAGTGGTCAGATGGGCTTGGCTTCCCCAGCTCAGTGCAAGGTGAGCAAAGCATTTCCAGATCCCATTTCACGTGGCAATGTGTCCCCAAACTGGCCTTACCTGGGACTGTGTTTGATTAGCACAGTCAATCACTATCCAGCAGAGCTGGTGACATTGAACAAACCTAATTTCAGATGATGTTCTCTCTATGGCAAAAATGAGCACACTGGTCTTTCCCAGTCACTCTTAGGTGAAAAAAAAAAAAAAAAAAAAAGGAGTAATTGAAAATTTTCAAGTGTCTTTGTAAAACAAATTACCTGTGATTTCTCAGTGTGGTCACACAACAGCCTATTATTGCTTCTGTTTCCAACCTTTCTGGGTTATTAAGCAGAAAAAAGTATTATAGAAATAATAAAGGAGACCTGTGAGCAACACATTCATGCTCTTCCCAGGAACAGTTTGTTCTCTGGTTGGATCAGGGACTCAAGTGTTTCTGAATACACCAGACAAGGTGTTCACAGGAACCTTTCTCCACTCAGAATTAAAAACCACGTTGAGGCAAGGAGGTCACAGTGACAGTCAATGGCCATCTCAAGCTCCAAACTAAGTTCTACTTAACCAAAGAAAAAAAATCCTCTCAAGCATCTACCAAGATTTAGCCATGCTTAATCCTTCCTGAGAGAATATCAAACCTCACTACCTTGCAATGTCAAGGGAAGAGAAAACTATAAATTGGAAATAAAGTAATTCAATGTCTAATATTTTCATACTGCATCCACTGCACAGTAATTCAAAGTAAAGTTCTTCATATACTTCATCACAATATCTCATGATAATAAATCCATCCCTGTTTTGCAAATGGAACAAGGAAGCCCATGGGGATTAAACTCTGTATACACAGCAGTGCTGCTACTTCTGTGATGTAGTTCAGTGTTCTGACTCTTCCCTTTCCTCAAAAGGGGAATCACCTGCACACAAGAGACTGGATGGAGGCCTCCCATATTCCAAAAAATATTATTTCAGCTTGTTTACACAAGTGCTGGTACACAAGAGTTCTCCTACAGGGGAAAACTAACCCACCCTTCTCTTTTCAAAGACAATTTTGTACCTGGTCATTCTGGTCTTAACAAGTGTGTAGGAACATCTCTGCTCTGCTGCCCGTTCATCCTCATGATTGTCAGGCCATTCAGCAACACAGAGCTGGAGACTGAGACTATGAAGGAACAAAGACAGATCTACATTATTAGTTCTTGGTTCTGTAAGTTATGAAGAAATCTGTGTCACCCAAGCAGCTATTGGAGGGAAATGACTCCCTTTCTATTCCCAGGCAGCACTGCCAAATGAACCAGTGTCTCCAGCTTTTCCTCTTTGCAGGTCTACTGCTAAATCAGTCCTTTATTCTGTACATTTTGTACATTTTGGTGTCTAGATTTGCTTTGCACAGGTAGGTCTTTGCTTAGAAGTCTCTATTTATAGTGAACTGAGGTGAACTGTCTTTTTTACTTCTGCCTGAACTTCAGCTGCAGAAAACATTCTATTCCCCTTTTTTTTTTTGAGACCTTAAATCCAAATACTTCCACAGATTGGGGTTTTCAAGTTTTGGTCCAGAACTCTGTCCCTGGTGCTTATTGCTGAGAGAGAAGCCATATTTTTGATCCTCTATTGAAGGCAGAGTTAAATCCTGAATGGGGTGAGATATAAGAGAAGAGCTGCCCTGGTTGTTACTGATGTTCAGATAATCCTGTTTAATCTTATTTGGTTGGCTCCTAGGAAACTTCTTATTACAAATACAGAACGTTTATGTGAGTGTGACATTCTGCCCTGGTCTCAGAACAAGGAATAAAGTAACTCACAATAAGGAATAAAGAAGTAGCCTCAGTGGTGTGGCAGTGAAAGTACTACTACTAAACCACATAAAATTTGGATAAAAATGGAGATTATGTTAATGACCAAAGCAGGTACAGCAAAGGACTAAGCAGTGCTAAGGAATGCAGGACTGTCACAGGTTCAAGAAGTGCAAAATGAAAGAAATCTGTTCTAATT